GAATAAATATTGTCTTGGCGTGTGCGCGCCCGCGGGTCGTAATTGACAACGACATTGGGGCCAGGTTAGACCACTTAGTCCTGAGAGGGACTGTATTGTTGTTGTTTTTCCCCTTAAATGTGTGTGAGCGGTGCGACTGTGGGAGCGGACGTAAAGTGTTGTGTACTAAGCAGGATGGTACCCAGACTACGTTTCGCATTTCGACAAATTAATGACGGTAGAAAACTTCGAAAGAGCACGTCTGAACACAACAAAGGTAAGAATTAAGCTGATACGAATCAAGCCAGACCAAATAATTTGCAACAGGTAAGCGATCAATGATCGGCTAGTAGAAGTCACCGTATTTCACCATTTCTATGATCATATTGTTGGTCGTCATTTTCTCATCCACACCTTATGAAATAGTCCTGTTGTTTTCTTAGGACATCTGGTGGACAACGCCAAGTACTTTATTGTTAGGGAAATGTGTTTTATTGTTTGGTGAGGTTGAGTGAAATTCCACGCGTGGGGTATATAGTGCTTTCCCACGGAACAGGTTGCTTGCTCGCATTATGTTGGTGAGCAGACAGCTATGATGAAAAGGCTTTACCAAGCAGTGGACCACTGTTTAAAATCATGCACAGTAGGCAATATCAAATTATTTTCTAGCGGAAACATAATGAACGAAGACTTCACCGCGCAATCAATGTTTTCTTTGTCGGTTCATACGCCGACATGTTACAATTCCGATTGGCTATACGCTTATTCTACGAATAAGACAGCCTACAAACAAATCGTTCTCTGGTTTTTGGTAGACTACTACTTAAACAAATAATGTAGGAAATATTTATTTTTTGTAGCTAGATGCAATACCTAACCTTTCCACGGCGCTGTGTTCCCGATGATCTCACCCGGTATGTGCCGCTCTGCTGCGATCACTTACCTTTGGATGTTATCCTGCCTACTGAGCTACAAACTTACCGGAAGTGAATAATTTGGTGGCGCAAACTGCTGTATTGACCTTGGATTCTACCTGAAAAATACTAGACACAGATTATCAGAAGGATATGTCCATAAAGCTTTTGTTTATTTCTATTCCCTTGCGATCCAACGAAAATGCTGGACATGTTGTGCGTACGCAAAGGGTTCCTTTGAATTTTGCGGTCCCCTGAGCTGGACCAGTGGCCTGCGCGTCCTCCCCAGATCGGGGACATTGAACAAGGAGAATATCAGGAGTGCAGGTGAACACAACATCGGTAAATAAATGTCTGTCCGGCTCCGTTGGTAGGTAAAAAGCCGTGCGCGGCCCCGGTAGCACTAATAAGGGTTACCTAAGTATGTGTGCGCGGCCCAGCGTAAGATCGACGATATTCGCACGAATAGGGTAGTCTGCGCGCCCCCGCTCTCAGGTGAAGAAACTCGCAGCCTGCGACTTTCGTCCCCTAGGACGACGAAACTCGCTGTGCGATTCTCTGCAAATCGCATACGATTACATACCTGTACATTTTGTACATGTACAGAATCTGAAGGTGACAAAATATCTGCTGTAAGAAGTACTCAGTACATTATATCATGTACAGCTTGCCTTTTTCTGCCTTGCTTGCTTGCTTACCATCACCATTGTTCCACACTGTACCAGCAGAACAATTATATGTTCCCCTAGCATGCTTTGCTAACAGTAGAATTGTAGGATACAAAATACCAGCTTGAAGATGTATCACAAAACTTTTCTTGCCATGCCATTATCACTGCTTGCTTGCTGCACATTCTATCTGCATTGCATTGCATCCCTGGCTTGCTTTATGGTAAATAGGAGCAAATACTACGATGCTTCATGTGGGTATGTACAAGACACAGCCTTTAAGGTTTTAGAGTATTCCTCTTACTGATGCACTGACTAGATACTGATTGCACCTTCAAAAAGCTGTAGAATCACACACTTTTAATTAACTATCTGACTTACCAATAGCATGCAATATTAAAATGTCTTTATACCAAGGAGAGCACCTCTGATACTACAGGTACAACTGTCGTATTTAAGAAGTTGAAATAACACTTTATGAAGATAATACAGTTATGCACCTGTTGACACTCCATTTTTTTCCCATGTTGTTCCCATAGGGCCAGGTGTACAAGGAGAAATGTGAGGCCCTGGTCAGAAAGGTTGTGGATGGCTATAACCTGACCATCATGGCTTATGGACAGGTAACATGTCGTGTATCTGATTTTTATCCTATATTCAAATGTTGTTTTTATCCTTATTATGTCCATCTGCATGATATATTTGATACCATTTTGATTTGCTCTATATGTTTTTAGACTGGATCTGGGAAGTCCTACATCATGCATGGCACTGAAGAGGACCCAGGAATTGGACCACAGGTAATCATTCCGTAAATCATGTTTTGTTTCCCTGTTATAGACCTGTGTCAAGCTGTACAGTAAAGAGCTGTAAGACAGTCAGGTATCTGTAGAGTGGATTGTAGCTGTCTGGCTACATAACATGAACATGAACATGAACATGAACATGAACATGAACATGAACATGAACATGAACATGAACATGAACATGAACATGAACATGAACATGAACATGAACATAACATGTCTTTGTTCCTCATCTCCTGCCCAGATGTTCCAGACTCTCTTCAGGCAGATTGAAGCTGCACCAGATAACAGGGACTTCTTTGTGTCCATGACCTATGTACAGGTACAATATACATTACTTTTTGTTAACAAGGATTTCTCACTGTATTTATTCTGTATTTCTTGACTAGATTTGAAACTTGAACCTAAATTAATAAGAACCTTAAAGTCAAGGTATAAGATCCTTGAAACATGTTTATTGGCAACAAGGAAACATATTGATTCTAATGATTTTTGATTCCTTGCAGATTTCTGAGGACAGCTTCATTGACCTTCTGAATCCTCATGGCAATGAGATGAAAGTGAGGCAACATCCTCAACTGGGCATGTAAGTTCTCATGCATCAACCAGCCAATTATTTAGAACATCCTGGAAGCACTTTCCAACTTTGTAATTTAAAAAAATGACCAGAAGTTATTTAAATACAATGTACATTGAATATCTGACTTTTTTCGCAGTATTGTAGAGGGTGCGTCTGAGATTGTAGCACATAACGATGAGGATCTGAACCGCCTGTATGACCAGGGGAACCGAGTCAGCGCCATCATCCAACCAGACCAGAAGGCAGGGTAAGTCTACCCTTCTGGTCAGGTATCTTCATAAGGTCTCTAGACATTTGTGTCACAGAATCTAATGTTGAGGTTTTGAAAGAATAATAAGCCTGGACAAGGTGGACTTTGTAATGACATAATAATAAAATTCATAAAGTTCACCAAAAACTATCTAAACATTATGTAACTTGTAACCTTTATGAATTACAAATAACTTTAATGTACAATCATTAAATACTGGTATGTATTAATGGAAAAGTAATAATTTGTCAAATAAAACATGGTGTCTTTAACAAATTTTTTTCCGCTAATTGTTCTCCAGAGTTCACCGTGTTGCAATGATCCGTGTAGAACAGAAGGACCTGAGTACGCTGGACGGACAGGGCGTCAGGTCACAGGTCAACCTGGTGGACCTGGCAGGGGCTGAGACTAGTGCCTGTAAAGGGTGGGTACAAATGTGGCTAAACTGTCTGTTCCTTTGTAACAAATGTATTAGACATGCAACTTTAACAATATCCTGCTGTGTATACAAATCTATGACTATTGTTGCCTTTTTTGTTCTTCTTTTATGGTTCTTTTGTGACTGGGCATTGCCTGAAGAAAATGCCCAGGACAAGTAAATGGTGCCTACAGATTTTTCTTTTAACATCAGCATTTTTCTGTCTGTTGGGAAACTTTTGTTCCAACACAAGAAATGTTTCTCACCTAGAGCTTTCAACCAATCACTCTGGTCTTTTTCACTATACTGACCTTGATATTACCTGTAAATGAGTACAAAACATATCATGTTTATACAGGGTGAATGCCTTGCTGACAGCGCTTGGTGAGTCTAAGAAGAAGGATGTCAACGTTCTGTACCGGGACTCTCACATCACACGTCTGCTGCAGGATGCACTGGGGGGAAACAGCTACACCGTCATGGTTGCCACCATCTCAGCTGCAGGTCAGTTCACTGCTTACCTCACCGCTTAACGGTCCGTTGATCGGGGGTGGTCGTAGGGATGCTTTGAAAGCTGAGCCCACTGCCTCCCTCCAACCCACTCTGTCACTTGGGTCCTGGTAAGGGGCAGGCTGGTCCACTCTGATGTTGTCATCCCACTTCTACCTCTGTTTGCCTCTTCTTCTTTTCTGCAGTATATTCCGCATCGCCCTCAGTCCCAGCCATCCCATCTGTCACGAATTGTTGTTTTGTAGTAAAAGGAATAATTTTGTTCATCGTGTTCTCTTCTAGATGTCTGTTCCAGTCAGACACAGTCCACTCTGCAGTTTGTGCAGACTGCCAGGAAAATCAACAACCAAGTCAAGCAAAACCCTGTAAGTATTTAGTCAGTTCTGCAGTTGATTTTGCCTAACATTTACACAAGTCACAGTCAGTATCTTCTTAACCTTTGACTGTCATCTAAGAAGTCATCCTTTTCCTTATGATCCAAATTTTATTGGATTGACTTTAACTTTTGTTGCCAGAATTTGTAGACATTGCACATGGATATCTGTCAGAAGACATTTTTATTTTAGAATGGAGGCACTATTAATATGTATCTTCACTGATCAGTAGGTAGACCCAGAACACATTGTGCATTGGGTTTCAACATGACGAAAAATTCATGAGGACCTCTGTCATTTTCCCAGGACGAGACCAGCACGGTGATCAGTGAGCTGCGGAAGGAGATCACCCGTCTTCGCACCAAGATCAGCGGCAGCACCCCAGCCGAGCGCGATGATGTCATCAAGATGGAGGTCTGCATTTTGTCTGCAAATTTCAGTACTAATAATTTGAGCAATCACTGTTTTTGTTTACATCATATACATACAAATTATTTGAAGACATACGTAAATTATTGGTACTAGGCAAATCAGCCAATCATCACCAATTCTAGCCTACCTCTCGTAGGCCTATGGCAATTGCTCGTGTATGTTTGGACACTTCTTCAGTTTTATAATTTACCAGTTAACTATATAGTAGATTATTTTACAAATTAGAAATCTCTTGTGATATTCTGGTGTTATTTGCCAACGGTGCAGCTCCCACATGACATTCAGTGATGTTGACCCTTTGGAAAATCCTGCCAATGATCTATGACCTTGAACCCTACAGGAGCTGGTGAAGGATCTACAGTTGGCCAAGAAGCAGAGCTGGGAGGAGCGGGAGAGGCTGTCAGACTCTCACGAGGAGCAGAGGAAACACAACCTGGCCAACAAGGTAATGTCAGCAGTATTATAATCTACAGCTCTAGAAAAAAAAATTCCTGATCTTCTGTTTAACAGTAGGTTTTTGTAGTCCAGTGGTTAGCAACCCAAGAGGTTGGGAGTTTGAATCCCAGCTGTTGTCGCTCACCTGACATGCACACTTCTAGATGTCCTTAGGACAGGACATTAAGCTGTAGTCCACTGTTCATTGTGCTTGATGAAAGGAGTTAGGGGAATCTCTCTGTAAATACTGTACATATCATCTGTCTTCTCTGTCATGACCAGTGAGCTTACTTTCCTTATTGTAAGCTCACATCAAGTTTACATGATTACAAAAGAGTAAAAGATTTGTAAATGTGTGTGATTTTTTTTGTATTCCAGGGTATCCTTGAATGGGTGATGGATGCGGTCAGGAGGGGGAACAAGGACACCAGGGAACGGATCCTGCAGATCCAGAAGGATAAAGACAAGGTAAAGATAGCTTCACTTTCAAAATGTGAAAAATGCTTTGATAAAGAAAGAAAGATAACAGAACAATGGCACAGCAGTAGAGCTGATAATGTCTAGGCATGAATTGTGGAGTATCAAAGACTGCATTTATCTCTCTAACCATCACCATTAACCTTTACCGTGTAGCTCCAGCTGGAGTACAAAGAGAAACGTCAGCAGTTGGAAAGGATGAAGGATGACCTGCAGGCCAAGATCGCTGATTACACCAAGATGACAGAGATGGGTTAGTCTGGAGTCTGACCATTATTCCATAGTACAGCCAGATCAGACAGTTCTTTGCAAAACTTTTCAGGGAGAAAATGTTTTCCATCCTACTTGAATCCCTTATACAAAGTATTTAGTGTCACTTTACAGATGATTTCAGAACGTTGCCCTCTATTTACATATAGCTTTTGTAAGGTAAGATTACAGAAATGGCCATAGCTATGACTGATTGAAATGTTGGGCTAGTGGTCTCCATCTGAGATTGGTGAGTCAAACCCCTTATATTGTTTTGATATGGACATACATGTACGTTTCATGTTAATTTCAGGTAAAGCCAAGGAGGATGAAACCAAGGCTCGTGTTGGAGCCATCCATGACCTGAAGGAACACCTGAAGAGAGAGACGGATGCCATCAAGGACATCAAGAAACGGCTTAAGGACCTTCAGGAGAAACAGCGGGCAGAGAAGGAGGTAAGAAAGGAGTTCCTGCAACCTGACCTGACCTTAACTGTTCTCTCCTTTAAAGTAATTCTGCCATATGGAAATGCTGACTCAAAATTGACGATCAGAACACATTACGCTTTCCTAATGCCGTCACGGTCTGATAGAAAAGGTTGAAACTTCGGTGTACATAGCACTTTTCTGATATGTCCGTTGCCTTCTTGTTGTCCAAGTTATTCTTGAAACTTTACAGGAGGCCCGAGCCACCAGTTCTGCTCTGAAAGGGAACTCTGAGCTGAGGTACAAGATTGAGGTAAGACATAGCTATATTTGCACATAATGTTTCAGGACACTCCTGTAAAATGTCAATTTTTGGAATACAAATGTGTCAACATCTAATGTACAGATCTTAGCAGTAGGTCTTAAGTGATGAAATGTTGTTTGGTGTTCCTTCTTGCAGGCTGAGGAACGTCAGAAGTTCGAGGCTGAGAATCGAGCTATGATTAAAGAGGAAGTGGACCGTATGAACATGGAACTGGAGCAGGAGAAGGCAGAGATTCGGGTATTTAGGACAAGATGTTTTCCAACATACATGTTTTTGTTACAGCAGGTTTTCAACACAATTTATGATATCATAACCCTTTTTAACTCGAAAAACTTCACACACAAATATAGATGCATTATCACAGTTTCATAAGCCAGTCATTGTATCCTATAGCTGAAGGAGGCCCAAGGAGTGCAGTATTCAACCAAGGAGGCTGTGCAGCTGGAGATGCAGCTTGCTGAGATGAACGCAGAGAAGCCTGTCATCACTTTGCGGGTAACGTTACATGTGCATAAGGTTTTCCCACAAGTTTTACAGGAAAAATTAAAGGTGATATCTATCTAGAGATTGATTTTACATGCTGTTGCTTCTTAGACGGTTTGAATCCATAGCTGAGTCAGTTACCAGATGTTAGAGTGTATTTTTGGTAACCAGATATCAGAGTGTATTTTGGATGCAACTTTACAGCTGCAGTCGCTAGAGCAGGAGAAGGCCATGATGGAAAAGACGATGGAGAACGCCCAGAAGGCTCACAAGGAGGAGATGGAAATTCAGCAGCTGCAGCATTTTCAGGTAGGCGATCATTACAATGGACATAAGGATCATCTTCTTATATAATGGGTAATGTTTGTCAACTGCTTACATTTCTATTTTTGTCATATATAAGTAGGGGAGAAACATTACCGGTTAATTAAATAATATGTCTTATATAAGAGTTATTGCTGCTAGGTCTTAGGTTTTTTATCCATGGGAGAAACAAAGAATGCTCCACAGTATACTGTATGTATCGATTGAAAATGAATGTGACAATGTTGTTTCTTTTGACAGACATTCCGTAAGTTCCGTGAGGTGTTTGAGGAGCAGAAGGCAGCGCTGGAGGGGCGGTACAGGAAACTGCTGGAGGACGCCATCCAGGACGCCGTCTTCCTGTCCGACAGGAACTCAGAACTGGAGCAGGAGAACCAGGCTCTCAAACAAGGTCTCACACCACTGTTTCATTGTGCTATGACAGTTGAATAAACTGTGGTTGAGCGATACCAGTAATGTCTTCAGTAAGGAGTGTAGGTGTAATGAAATTTTATAGTTTGCTACCTTATGTAGCAAATTTTGCTCCATTTCTTTAAAGAACAGCATCTTAGTTTTAGTTAGCTGAGTTTTCTGACAACAATTTCATTGATGAGAAGTTATTGATCCCAAACAAGATGATGTTTCACTGTAACAGCTTATGATACCATTGGTTTATGTATCCTTTCAGCGGCTGCAGTACTGAAGGACAGACAATATCGGGTCATTACATGTTCATCTATGCACCTTTGTGGTGTTACATTTTGTAGCTGTCGTAGAATTGATATATTTGTTGAATAAGTATGAAGCCATTGATATTTTTTGGTTGTCATTTTAATGATTTACAATGTAATTTTCAAAGTTGTTTCCCTGGGTTAAATTGCACAATCACAACCATATATTCTCTATTTTGAAAAGACTATACAAGATAACACAGGTGGCAGAAAATGCAATTAAAATTTCTAAGTCTTAGATTACGCTTTGATAATGTAACATCATGCTGTGCTTTGCTCATGTTTCATCTACTGTCAATGGTGCTGAAATGTGTAGGTATCCCTCCAGCTCAAGAGATGATGGTAGCACCCTAAGTCTGGTGTTGAGGCTGGGTGAAAGTTCTAGTGTGGCTTATCAACCCAACCTTGGCAAAATATGTGCTGAAATATAATTAAAAGAATTATTCAACCCTTTCTTCCCAGGGCTTGCGGAGATGAAGGACCAGATGACCCTACTGAAGGGGGCGGGGGCAGGCCGGTCCAGTCGTCCTCCTACAGCCTCCTCCACAAGATCTGCAGCTTCTTAAGGGATCAACCATTGTCTGTGGAGGGGGGATGAAATTCTGCAGAAGTAGGAGGATGAATATGGGAGTATATAGCTGTGAGATGAAATAAAGTGTAAAGTGTACAATCTATGATTTTGAGGTGTATCCATTGTAATACTTATTCTGAAATCCAGCTTTTCCCATGTGAATAAGCCTCAAGATACACAGATATGTATACTATAATTCTAGTATATCAGAATACATGTATGTGATACAAGAGACTGTCTCTAGCCTTTTGCATTTAACTGATAGTGATAACTCCTCTACTCAACTGGACAAAAATGTGATTAATTTTGTGTCAACTGAAATGTTTAGATTTTAAACCAAATGATAAAGAATAAAATCTATGAAATATACTGAGGCAATAATCATACTTCCTATTCATATAAGGAGCACAATAAAAGTACTCTTGAAAATAAACAGAGAGGATGGTATATTTTATAGTCATGATGGTGGACCATGTGCACATATAGTGTAATTTTTTGCACTTTCATATATATGTATATACTGTTATTTCTGTATCATGTCACATGTAGCGTTGTATACTTGTATTATGTGATTTTTGGACCAGTTGTTTGTGTGACTTGTAATAGAAATATAAGAGATGTCTGTAGATAAAATTGGATACATACTTCCGTGGTCACCTGATTCGTCATAAACTAGTTGCGACTTTTTGCAATTATATGTATGGAATAATATTGCCATGTATTGGTCTCTTTACTCTGATCAGCTGTCATTGTATTTATCCATGATAGACTTTGTATAACTTCAGACCCTTTATGTGTCTGGAATTGAAGTATTTGATCTTCTCTAGCACACTGTAAATATTCAGCAATGTGAACTACAAAAAGCAATAGCTGTAAAGGAATTTTATAACATCACTGGAGATTTTGAATAAAGTATTTTGCACTTTTAACCCTATTGTGGAGGAATATAGAAATCAAAAGCGGCCTCTAGCAGTTCAATTAAGGACTGCACCACAATGCTAGGTAAGTGGTTCCTATTACTGCAGTGATTTTTTTATTGCTACGGGATGATTTAAATTACCATAGTAAACTTTTGAACTGTTATATACGAGCTCCCTATATGCTGAATAGAACAGTCCAACAACTGCACCATCAACAGAAGGAGCTTGTGTAAGCTGGCTTGTACTTCATAAAATATAAAACAGCTGGCACTCTGCCATCTTCCTGGTGGGCACTTGTCAGAATGGGTTAACGTATATGCACCACTAAAAGAAGGAATTCTGGAGTGCCCTTTAACTCAAATATAAACTCTTTCAAAATGTATAAGCCAGGCTCTACGATTGGGCTTTCTTTGGTCCCTCTGTAATGCGACTTTTATCTTTGTGGCATATGGCTTCTATTTTTACAGTGTAGTCGACAAAATAATCCCAGTACAAATAGAAATAGGATAAAAAGCGCATTATAGAGGCTCCTGCAAAAGCTCAGCGGCGGAGCCTGCTTAGGATGCTAAGACTTATTTCAAAGTTCCCGCCCTTTAAAAATTTGCATAATCTGGAGGATTACGCGGACCAATCAGCTGCGATTATTACCAAAACATGACTTGATGCTCGCTCTCGACCGAACGCGGGCGATGCAGGTCACATAGGGACGAAACTTTGGCATCAAAAACAGCCTTTCAGCCGGCTCGTTGAGCGTCTGCCAGGGGAAAACTATGGCCACGGTTGCCGTGCAGAGGCTGCTGGGCGCCCTGCGCGGGCTCGCCGGCTGGTGGTGGGGCGGAGAGGCGAGGGAGACGGTCGATTTCCACACTTTACAGGTCAGCTAACTTCTGGGTCGTCACCTTTCCACGCTGTTTTTGTAATGTAATGACAACGCCCCCCACCCCACAACCCCCCGTGGCTTTGTTTTTGTTTTCATTTTACGGCGATTGTTTTGCTCTTATTACCGTAATCCAAACCATAACCCGCCTGTGTCGAGTGGGTCGTGATCGTGAGACCTATTAAAGCCGATCGGCTGCAGGGTTACACATGTATAAGCACCGCAAAATCGCGTCACTGTTAGCTCTTAGCAACTTCGTTACTTGGTAACGTCGTGTCTGGTGGTGTACTGACAATTCCAGGCACACTTTGTGTATGTTTTTCATGCCTTAATTTCCCTCTCGACTTCATGACAGAATGGACCTGTCCCGAGTGGGGAGCTGTTTATACCGCCACTAATGAATTCCTTATGGGGAAGAAATCGTTGTGCAGTTCTTTTCGAGCCGGGTCCCCCGGAAGTGACAAATTATGTATGGACTGATTATAATTACTGATAATCAACATAACTTCAATAAATCTCCACTCCTCCTCCAATGCACACTATACAGCCCAACTTCACTCCTTTCCAATTAAGGTTATCCCATATAGCTTTGATTACCTTGACCAATAAACATTGAGTAGAGTCTGCATTTCGATTTTTACCACATAACGTTTTATGTAAATGCTGCAATGGCTACGTGCCTCATTAAACTGCAATCATTGCTTCAACATTATGAAAGATCACATAAATGTCACAGACCAAAGTCACGGGTAGGTTGAGTACAACCAATCAGCTACGCTGCAAAATTAGAAGTTTATAACGAATGGCAATGAAATAGCACACTTGACGGGTGATATTTTTCACCTCGGAAATGTCCCACAGTTCAGAGTAGAGGTCGGAAAAATTGTAGGATTAACAGTTAAACACCTTCTTAAAAGATCAGCTTAGAGGTCACACTTTCAAGTCCATTTCATTACCAGGGTGCACAAGGCAGAGGTTGTAGCTGTTTGAAGTGACATGCCACTTGTGGTGTCAAGTGCCCTTCAGGCCTCCTTGTGCCAATTGTGCATGTAGTGGGATCTGAAGCTAGCAGCTGAAATGATCAAAGCTGTTCACGGTGTATAGGACAGTTTCAAAGGCCCTGTATATGGAGTGGGCGAGTGATGTATGACAGGGCTGGTCTCGGGATATCCGAGGTTTGACGCTAATGCACAGGATATAACCCTCTCTCTGTATGTTATTGATTTTATGACACTTCTTGGTGCCAACAAACAGATAAAATTGGCCACTTATAACAAGGATGGCATCTGACTCTGAGGCTCACTCACAAACCGGTTTATTGGCTGCTGTTCCCCATCTCCAGGGGGATAGAGAGGCTTGCATAGATGTCCTGACTTGATGGCACACTGCCAGCTGCCCCTGTCCTGTCCTGCATGCTGCTAGGATGTGAAAGTCTTCTCTTGAGGAATTTGGGAATCGAAGTCCTTAGCAGGATCTATAGTCAGGCTTTTTTGGGGGCCGGGGCTTGTAACCAAGAATGACAGAAAAATAAGATCTACTAATTTTATGACCTGTACATAGCTTGTAAGAGCATAAATATACAATAAAGGCTTTCATTAATTTGCCTGCCAAATAAAATAAATACATGAAGTTGACTGACTCTTGAGGATTCTGAGCCATATGGTGTTAGCCCATAATAACCAACCATTACCATTGGCAGGCAGGTTGACCAGGGGTTAGAACATAGTAAACAGGAAGTGACCCTTGCTTGGCAGAGATTAGCAGGGCCTTTTTTGGTATGAATACGTCTTAGATTATCTTGAGACAGCTGGGTCTCTTGTTCAAGCATTTCTGGCGATCATTAACCAGCCAAGCAGATCTAGAATATCATGAAGACGTGTTTGTTGACATGTTGATTTTAATCAGACAAATAGGAAATCAGCCATTTTTTTCTTTTTTACTGGGAGTATCATTTAATACAAATCCTGAAGTTTGTTGATAGTTTTTTTACTAGTCATCTTATCAGGCTCTTGAATACTGTAAATACGATAAGATTTGAATTATCACAGTGCATGTATAGTACTTGAAGTATAACACTTCAATCCACTTTTCTGATGACATTTGTCGCTCTGCAATATAACTGAGGTCAAGGTACAAGTGACTGTTTTGGAAGTGTACATTTGTATACATTGTAGCAGAATCTGGCTCAATCAGAACAGTTAATGTTATAGTGCTAATCCCTTGGGAAACTTAATGCAAAGATCTGCTAGTACAGCATCACTAATCCCAGAGCTATGCACGCTTCAGATATCCAGGTGTTCAGGACATTCTTGAAAATTAAGGCCTCCATGTCACAGTGTAAAATGTCTTAATTACAATCATTATTGTTTGACAGTAATTACAATTCAATCATACCAGGTTGACCAACCAGCATGATGGAGAATATACAATATATCACAGTATAGATTCATACTATAGTCACACGAGTACACCATATCCTAGGAAAACAGTCAGCGGTATCATTGTTCTGAGTTACACTAATACAAATTTGCAATACTATAGTAGCAAAAATTGCTCTTAAATATAAAATGGGCATTGCTGTCAAATGTTTTTCTGACTGCCAGTATACATGTAAGTTGGTAATCCTTAGTGTAGTCTGCTACATTTGAAAGCATTAATACGGTTGTTTTTCCATCTTGTTTTGAAGTGCTGTCACCAAACCTGTCAAGCCTAGCTTGCTTTTAATATACCAGTGTATATAATGCTTGCTTAGTAGAGTAGCAAATCAAACAGTGCTGATGGGTGTTTTACTCACTGTTTGTTCTTTTTCACAATTGCTCTACTTGTATTTTGATGGGTTTGACCTCTGATGAGATTAAATGGCAATCAGCTATCAGATCACATTGATGAATGTTTGGCAGAAATGGTAAGCATGTATTTTTAAGCAAGCTTTTATAGTACAAAAGATATGGGTGGTTTTTAAGGTATGTTAGAAACAATTTGCAGGTTACGTTGTCCTTCCATATTTGTGGCCTTAGACTTAGCGCTTCATGTAGAGGGTTATACTGAGGCCTTACAGAAAACTGCACCTCTCAGAGTATCTGTCCCCATAGTTTCCTTTTAATTGAAATTTAAGCTATGGATTTATTTCTTAACAGGTGTCTTGACACAAATTTAGTATCCACACTGAGCACCTGTATTGTGTAAGTTGACAGGTAACCTGGTGAAGTGTGACAAATGGTCTCTCAGGTTCATGTGTCAAGTGCAGACAAAGGCAACCTCATTCCGTAGTTCACCCTGTTTCCCCCCAGCAGACACGAAACAAAAGGTTTTGACCTTGGGCTCTTGGGCTTAGAGACCAGTTGACATTCAAGAAACCTGTTTGCTTTTTTAATAGTAGAACATCATAAAGGGAACAAAGTAGTTGTGTAAAATGACAACCACAAACTGATAGTACTACTTACTTACTAATTTCCCTTGAGTCAGACTTGATTCGAGCTTTTACTTGTGTAGCAAACTATATCATGATGGCTTTTGCCAACAGCTGAGATTCCCACATTGGAAAAATATGGAATCCAACATCCTTGACACCTTGAATCGTCACAAATGTAGCAAAATATTGAAATTTGTGTGTTAAGTAACCAGGAACTATGCCTCCCAGGGTTTAGGAAGTATTCAAAGTTGGCAAAACTAAGCCTTGACCCAACAAGGTAGGGCAGGTACTTGAAATGAAAACAGGAAATAGGAGAAAGGGACATGCCAAATTAGATTTTGTGCCAAGGAAATGTAAATTACGAGTCCAGAAGCCCAGATGTTGAATCACATTCTCATCTTTAACCTGATTAGAGCATAGCTATAATTGTATTGAAGAGCATGTTCCTCCATTTACTTGATACTTTGTTTCAGCATAGACCTTGTCATGGATCATGGATCTTGCATGGGGCAAACAACACTGTGATAATACCATGACAACCTGTAAGCAGCACATGCGTATACATGCATCCCATTCAGTCACGGTAATGACTTTGTTTGCCCTTGGTGTTACCCAGAGTTCTCTGTTTTTTCCCAGCAAGTGAAGTGATCCATGAAAATATTTAACGGTCTATTGGACACAACCTCACACAGTGTCTGTTAGGTTTCTCGATGATGGATTTTTCTCTACATATACTTCTGGAGGTAGGAATAACAGAGAATTTGTCATCATAATTTGTAATGATTGTAAATATGTTGTTGAAGGAGAACATTCTGTTTAGAAACTTGTAAGTGCAACTAGAAGTAGCAGGGCATGTGTGGCTGGTTCTACTAGACTAAGTGCAAGTTTGCATAAAATATCTTGGTACTATTGCAGAGCAATACTTAATGTTACCAAGTACAATAGGAGCATAATGTCACTGGATAGCCTTAAACAGTATGCCTAGAGCTAGGAGTACAAACTCAAGGTTAGGTGTGATAGGTCAACTGATGTACTGGTAATATAAATATCTACCATCTTGATGTGCGTAATACTATATAGCTGATGTGTTTTACACAGAAGGGTGTTTATAACATCTAATATATATTTATTTATTTATATACAGTAAAGATTCAGATTTGCATCCTTTGCAAAAAGACCATTTGAAGGTACAAGTCCTGGAATGTAAGTTCTAACACCTCGGCCTGACACAGGCTAACAGGGTTTATGCATCTTGATTTGTGTTGAGATAAACATTGGAAGCCCAGGGTAAAATAAACAAAACTAGACAATGTTGGCAAGTAAAACCAAACGGTCTATAAATAAGGTCCGGGAGTTTGACAGTGACAAATAGTGGCATGTCATACCAGGTTTTGTCTTGCCAAAATAAAGTTTGGAACAGATTGGTAGATTAAATACTAATAGATCTTTGGGAGCAAGATGCCACCCATATGTGAGTGCCTCTGTAAAAATGAAAGCGTCCCCGACGGAGAAACGCCCGTCCGACGCCGTCCCTGCCTGTCCTTAGCGGGAAACGGCGTCCTGACCGTCCCAACACAGTTGGCAGC